ATACCGTATGCGAAAACCTATAAAAAAGTGCTTTTGGATTCAAAAAAACTATGTCGGCAAAAAATGCCGCCTGCTCTATGAGGAAATGCCCATTGTGCATCCTTGAACAATGCAGTCACGCAATCTGACTTCATAGACTCAGGGAATATTCCGTCTTGTATTGAACTACGACAGATATGAGCAACATCTTCAGCGATTATTGTTGAAGACTCACGCAGCAAACGGTTATTAATTCCTGGAGCAGTCGTTTTATTAATATCAAGATGAGAGAGGATGTCTTCTGTTTCTTGAGCAAACACAAAAAATAGTGGGAAAGTAAAAGATACGTCAGGAATATTATTAAGAGGAATGGGAGCATTATAATCTGCCAAAGACATACTGCACACGGAAGCAAAATGCTCATTCAATAATTGAGCCTTATCTCTGTCCTCGTAAACTAACTGTGAGCTGGTGTTCTGAAGAACAGATATGGATGATTATAAAGTTGTTTACTTTTCAGCTTAATCTGAACCGTATGAAGAGTTTATTCTTCAGCCTATAGAAGTCTCTTAGCTCGTTAGTAAACCAAAGCTAGTCTCTACTGTGTATCTCTATCAGTTTTTGTGGAATAGTTTTCTCCGCTACTTTCTGAATAGAGTACAACAACAATTCACATTTGGAGTCAACATCCGAATTAAAAAACTGGTAAACATTGTTGCTGAGCTCTTGTTTTAAGAGATAACGATAGTGATTCCAGTCGACTACTTTGTAATTCCAAATTTTCCTCACAATTGGCGGCAGTGTAGTATTTAATTTGACAAGTACTGGAGCATGGTCACAAGTCTCGCACAATAACGATAAAAATTTGACATTTTCAATAAGGCTAAGATTGTTCATGATTATTAAACCAAGGCATGTTTGAGCGACTGTACACAATACTTACCACAACTATTTAAATATCCTCGTCGAAAATTATGATTGTTGCTTTCCAAGCTTCATTTTTTCCTATAGATGATACAATCAATTGAAGTAAAGTGGGTTACTTTATCTGTCTGCACAATTAGATATACATGCTATGCCAGTCTTGTCGAAATGGGCAATATCGGTCTTATTCTATCAAGCAATATTGCCAAATCGGGCAAGCTGAAATGCTCAAAATTGAGTTATGTTCGCTATTCGTCTCTGTCGTAAAAGCGAAAGAAGGTTGAACACTTAAATTTAACATATGGTGGATATTCGTGCACGAGGAGTAGAATGAACACTTCTCGCCTATTAGACGCTTGATGATTCTTGGGATCAGACCCTGCCCGAACGGGCAAGTATCAACAGACTGCCTGAACGGTCAAAAAAATAAAACACGGGAATTTGCTGCTAAAAATATTTCAGCTACATTATTCGAAAGAACATGAAAAGCTGGACAAAACTGCAATATCAATAAATGTTAGTATGGCTTGAATATCCAGTTCATCGCACTGTAAAGACAAAGATTTGATAAAAATAGCAAACATAGCCCGAATATATGATGTCTTAGCTTTGTGTGATATATATAACTTTTCTACTTCTTTGGCTTGAAAGTTTTCAAGGCCTTTATGGCGTTTTGATTGTTATGACTGCACCAGAACTTTTCTGATATATATGATCGTTATAGGAGTTATATATGAAGCTCAAGCTAGTTGAGTTCAGGCTTCTTGCCTTCGTAATATTTTGTTTTGTACCCGACTCAACAAAGTTGTAAAACGATTGTCCTTACCCAGATCTGATCATTTGTTTTAAATTCAAGTTTTGTTATGGGGCAAATTAACTGCAGCTGGCTCAGACTAAGCATGCACCAGTTTTTAACTGGTGTTGGGGCATCTTAGAGAATTGCTATAAATCAGTTATCACGATTCTCTCAGAGCTGTAAAACATCTAATTTTGTAGAAAAATGTTTGCTCTACAAAATGCATTTAGTAAAAGACTTCCAGAATCATTTCTAAGAAAACTTAGAGCATTCTAAAATGTACTAAATTACGAAAAAAACTATTCAAACAGTTTTTTTCCCGTGATTTTTGAATACTCCGAGTTTTCTTAGAAATGATTCTGGAAGTCTTTTACTAAATGCATTTTGTAGAGCAAACATTTTTCTACAAAATTAGATGTTTTACGGCTCTGAGAGAATCGTGATAACTAATTTATAGCAATTCTCCCGGATGCCGCAACACTGGTTAAAAACTGATGCATGCCTAGCTCAGACTAGATCTACAACACTTGACCTGTTAGCATGAGGGGTGTCATAATATCACTACGCAGTGTATTCTCAGAAAGAGACTGTTTTTTTCAAACTTGCCTTGCTGGGCTTGGCGCCTTCGCCTGTATTCCCACTGAGAATACATCAAGCCCAGCAAGTGTATTCTCACTGACAATACACGAGAATATACCAGAATACGCAAACATATAAATTTCTATAAAATGTGCTGGGCTTCGTGTATTTTCACTGACAATACGCAAATGTTGCATAGTGACTCACTCTCATGCTGCACATTTTATAAAAATTTATATATTTGCGTATTCTGGTGTATTCTCGTGTATTGTCAGTGAGAATACACCAAACCCAGCAAGCCCAGCAAATAGTGTCTTTTTGAGAATACACTGCGTAGTGATATTCTGACATCTCTGGCTAGCATCTGTTCTTGATATCATAAATAGGAAAAGAAAGTAAATTAAAATAATAAGCAACACGCGAATCTTCTGAAGAGTTTCTTTATTACGAGTGAAGTGTGTGAGAAAGAATAGAAATTAATTAAAATACTGGTGCATCTGGCGTCAGTTGAAGAGTCAGACTGAAAGAAAAAAATAAATGAAAATTACATTTGTGCTGTTCATAATTGACGTTATCATTTTTTCACGATTTTATCGAGTGACTCGATAAAATTTAAATTATTTTAAATTATTTTTAAAATCCTGGATCATCTGATGTACCAGATAGACCACCACCAGTCGACCACCAGGCTGTCGAATAAGCGACCAGAGATGGCGCTCCCGAAACAATACTCCATCCAAAAATATCGTTTTCACTCTCATCAACAGAAAAGTCGTTTTCACTCTCATCACCAGAAATATCGTTTCCACCCTCATCATCAGAAATGTCGTTTTCACTTCTATCATAAACTTCTGAAGATTGGCCCCATTCACCATCACCGTTGATCAATAAATTGGTATCATATGAGATATCGTCCGAATGTATTCTTCAAAGAATAGAAATTATTAGTTCATGTTTAATCATCGCCTCACGTACTTCTACTTACGATTTTATACTCATGATCATAACACCAATCAGAAGAAGAATAGCCACACAACCACTTATGCCATTCATATTGATTTTTATCTGAAAAACAACAATACGATAACTACGAGCATTTCGCATCGTTAATTTATTCACTTAACTCTTCATGTAACAATATTTACCCTTGATGTTTCGTGATTTCACCACTTTTCGTTTTAAATGTTTTTGTTATGTTATCAGACCTCCTCAAGTAGATATGTATTTATACCAGAGAAATAATCGAATTATTCACAAATCACGCCATCACTGCGAAAAGCGATGCAAGAAAGATCAATATGAAGGAAAACATAGAAAAACAGCGTATATGTCGATGGTTTATTGCCCTAGAGAACGTACTTGATGCAAGTACTTGATTACTTGCTAACTGCTTGTCAAGGATCGAAATACTTGCCTTATTATGTAAGAAGTACTTTCTGAAAGTACTCGGCAAGTGAGGACAAGTACTTACAAGTAAATTTAGTTCTTGAAAAGGACAAGTACCAGACGTGCTGCTGAATTGCTGATTGTTCAGCATTTGATTTATTATTAGAAGATACGCGTGAGATAATTTTATCACTCGAACGAAAGTTCCAACGTGTTTAGAAGAAAATAATAAATCAGTTAAAGCGTGTTCAAAAAATATTAAGCAATGTGCTGCAACGAGTTAGACGTCTCTCCAACCTGTGTGAACACGTTCATTTGCACATTCGCAATTTTAAAACTAGAAAAGTACGTTGGAACGTGTGCGAATAGTCGAGCGCATTAGAACGGGGGGAAAAGTGGCAGAAAATGACATTCTAACGTGTTGCAACGCGATGAAATCGATCAAATCAACTTGTTCCAGTTAAAATTCTATCAAACTTGATCAATCTTTCTGAACACGTTGGAACCTGCTCTGTGTCGTACACATTCTAATGCGTTAGAGTAAGAAACGGGTTGGAACAAGTTCATTTGACTGATCGTACTGCGTTGCAACGCCTTAGATTCATTATTTTATAGCGCAGTTCCTGAGACATTTTTCTCTCCTAAAGGCAGTCTCTTTCACCTAGTTGACATCTCTCACAATATCTGACTTTAACTTGGTCGAAGAGGCAGAAATCGTACTGTTTTTCTATCTCTAATCAAGCACAAAAACCATCTTGCGCATAGCAAGATATAGCGATGAGAAAAATAGTACGATGTCCGACTTTTCGACTAAGCTAAAGTCAGATATGGTGAGAAATGTAGAATGGGTGAAAGAGACCACCTGTAGTAGAAGATAGTTCCAACAGATCGACCTTAAAACCTCTGTTGCCGCACATAATCTTACATTCATCTCATATTAACTTAGTACGAAACTTGACGGATCACATCTTACCGGTCTTTTCTTCGGGATGTGATCCGTCGAAGTAATAATATAAGTCGTCGTTGAATAAAGAAAATATATCTAAAAGTAAACAATAAGCAGGAAGAATGAAGCACTGTAAACAAAGATAGTAAACAGGAAATCTTTCTGATCGTAGAACAGCCAAGAAGGAGAAAGCACTTCTGCATACGAGAGTGTTTTTCAGTGTCTAAAATTCAAGATGGTCGAAAATTAGAAGGATCGAAGACTTTTCGGAGAATAACTCTTAGTTTTAATTTTTCTACATGCACGCAACTTTTGTGAGTTTTTTCAAAGAAATTTACCGTTTATGACGAAAAAAACCAAAAATCTTTTGCGTAAACAACGGTTCTTTCAAAAGTGAGAACATGACAAACTAAAGGTGATTGTCTTCTACTTTATCTTTTAGTTTATGTCTTTGAGATTTTGAGAAACAGAAT